AAACAACTCTGAGATTCCATCTTACACCTGTAAGAATGGCCAAGATTAAAAACACTGATGATAACTTATGCTGGAGAGGTTGTGGGAAAAGGGAACACTTTTGCATTGCTGGTAGGAATGCAATCTGGGACTACCCCTTTGGATGTCAGTGTGGCGATTTCTCAGAAAATTAGGAAACAACCTTCCTCAAGACCCAGTAATACCACTTTTGGGTTTATTTCCAAAGGATGCTCAATAGTGCCATAAGGAAATGTGTTCAACTATGTTCATAATAGCTTTGTTTGTCATAGCCAGAACCTGGAAACAACCTAAATGCCCCTCGACTGAAGAATGGAAAAGGAAAATGTGGTACATTTACACAATGGAGTACTACAAAGCAGAAAAAAATAATGACGTCTTGAAATTTGCAGGAAAATGGATAGACCTAGCAAACATCATGTTGAGTGAGGTAAACCAGTCACATAAAGACAATATTCCATGACAAAATCAGATTTAAACAATACCAATACTCCTCAAATTGTTCCACACAATAGAATCAGAAGAAACACTGCCAAACTCCTTTTACAAGGCTACAATTACCCTGATGCCCAAAGACACAAAGACACTACTAAGAAAGCAAATTACAGACTAATCTCACTCATGAACCTTGATGTAAAAATATTCAATAAAATATTGGCAAATTGAATTCAAGAACACATAAGAAAAATCATCTGCCATAACCAAACAGGCTTTATCCCAAAGATGCAGGGATGGTTCAACATACATAAATTCATCAATGTAATCCACCATATAAACAAATTGAAAGAAAATACACACTCATCTCAACAGATGCAGAAAAAGCCTTTGAGAAAATCCAACACCCCATCATAAAAAAGGTCGTAGTGTTCAAAGACACAAGGAACATATTTAAACATAAAAAAGTAATAAAAGCAACTCAACAGACATCAAAACAAATGGAGAAAACGCAAAGAGATCTCACTAAAATCAGAAAAAAGACTAGGCTGTCCTCTCTCTCCAATTTATTCAATAAAGCACTCAAAGTTCTAGTTAGAACAAAAAGACATCAAAAAAAGATCAAGGGATACAAACTGGACAGGAAGAAGTCAAACTTTTGCTATTTGCTGATGATATGACAGTATACATAAGTGACCCCAAAATTTCTAACAAAGAAGACCTAAAGCTGATAAACATCTTCAGTAATGTGGCAGAATACATGATTAACTCAATAAAATTTAGTATCCCTCCTATATAAAGATGATAAATGAGCTGAAAAAGAAATCAGGAAAATATCACCATTCACAATAGCCACAAACAACCTAAAATTTCTTGGGGTAACTCTAACCAAACAACTGAAAGACCTGTATGACAAGAACTTTAAGTCTTTGAAGAAAGAAACTGAAGAAAACATCAGAAAATAGAAAAAGACCTCCCATGCTCTTAGATAGCTAGGATTAACATAGTAAAAATGGCAGTATTACCAAAAACAATCTACAGATTCAATGCAATCCCAGCAAAATTATTCACAGACCTCAAAAAAACAATACTCAACTTCATGCGGAAAAACAAAAAACCCACAATAGCTAAAACAATCCTGTAATTCTGGAGGCATCACCATCCCTGTCTTCAAACTCTACTATAGAGCCATAATCGTAAAAACAGTTTAGTAGCCGGGCAGTGGTGGCACACGCCTTTAATCCCAGCACTTGGGAGGCAGAGGCAGGCAGATCTCTGTGAGTTCGAGGCCGGCCTGGTGTACAAGAGTTAGTTCCAGGACAGGCTCCAAAGCCACAGAGAAACCCTATCTCGAAAAACCAAAAAAAAAAAAGACACACAGACCAATGGAATCTAATCAAAGATCCTGACATAAATCCACACAACTATGAACACCTAATTTTTGACAAAGAAGCTAAAATTGTACAACAGGAAAAAGAAAACATCTTCAACAAATGGTGTTAGCATAAATGGATATCAACATGTAGAAGAATGAAAATAGATCCATATCTATCACCATGCACAAAACAAGTCCAAATGTATCAAAGATCTCAACATAAAGCCAACCACAATGAACCTCATAAAAGAGAAAGCGGGAAGTAGCCTTGAATGTTATCAGCACAAGAGACCACTTCCTAAATATAACACCAGTAGTACAGACACTGAGAGCAACAATGGGACCTCCAGAAACTGAAAAGCTTCTGTAAAGCAAAAGATATGGTCAACAACACAAAACAGCCACCTGCAGAATTGGAAAAGATCTTCACCAACCTCACATCTGACAGAGGGCTGCTCTCCAAAATATACAAAGAACTCAAGAAACTGGACACTAAAATACCAAATAATCCAATTTAAAAATAGAGAACAGATCTAAACAAAGAATTTTCAAGAGAAGGCACTCAAATGGCTAAAGACATTTAAGGAATTGGTCAACATCCTTAGCCATCAGGGAAATGCAAATCAAAACAACTCTGAGATACTATTTTATGCCTGTCAGAACAGCTAAAATCAAAAACGCAGATGACAACCTATATAGGGAGGACTGTGGAGTAAGGGGAACACTCCTCCATTGCTGGTGGGAGTGCAAACTTGTACAGCTATTTTGGAAGTCAGGATGGTGGTTTCTCAGGAAATTGGGAATCAATCTACCTCAAGACCACTATTAGGCATATACCCAAAGAATGCTCAATCATACCAGAAGAACATTTGCTCAACTATGATCATGGCAGCATTATTCATAATAGCCAGAACCTGGAAACAACCTAGATGCCTCTCAACGGAAGAATGGATAAGGAAAATGTGGTTACACATTGGATTACTACTCAGCGGTTAAAAAAAAAAGAAAAAGAAAGAAAGAAAAAAGACATCTTGCAATTAACAGGCAAATGGATGGAACTACAAAAAGAAAAAAAAATCCTGAGTGAGGTAACCCAGACCCAGAAAGACAAATATGGTATGTACTCACTCAAAAGTGCATATTAGGCATAAAGCAAAGGATAACCAGACTACAGTACACAACCCCAGAGAAGCTAGGTAACAAAGATGACCCTAAAAGAAACATAAATGGATCTACCTAGGAAGGGGAAATAAATAAGATCTCCTGAGTAAATTGATTTGGTTTCCTGCCTTTCTCATTAACCACCTCTTAACATTTGCAGCAGGAGCTAGAAAAGGCACTCAACCATTACACTTGAACACAACCCCAAATAAAAAGGCATTTCCCCACTGGATCTGCAACCAGATCCAGCATATTACATGTTAGGCAGGCAGCCCACCATTAAACTCCATTTCCAGCCCCAACACTTGCTCCTAATACTACTCACTGCTCATTTCTAATTGCTGCTGTTATCTATTAAACATGATCATCTTCTAATTGAGGCTTTCATTTTCTTTCACATAAAACATTCAATCTAAAAGCACCAACTAGCATCTGTTCTTTTTAAGTTCACTTTAGTTTTCAATCCAGGCACAATGGATATTGATTTTCCTAGTTTTTACATAAATTCAATCTCACTCAAGTTTGATCATAGCCCAAATGTCTCTAAAGTGAATTTTAAGTATTCTGAAAACTTCAGAGGGACTTATGTCTATTAACAATGACCTTTTTGGCTTATATGATTTTCTCATGTTCAGGGTATCAGGGTATGGTGCATGAGGAACTCTGTGCTGAGAATTAGAATACATGTATATTAGCCCTAAAACCTATCATAATACATGTGATTTATTTTACATTATTGTTTTCTCATAAAATTAAATTAATATAAATTCACTTGTACTATAGAGAGCACCCAAGTTTTATACTTAATACTTACATTATACTATACTTAGAAATAACTTTAGAAAGAAAAAGCTTCAACCACTTTGACAAAAGTTGAAAATAATTTCCCAAGATATTAGATATTCCACATACTCAAATTACTTTTTTAATTCCAATATTTCAATTATTTTTTTGTTAATTTTTGATTTGGTAGATATAGTTCAGTGGTAGTAAGGATTTCCAAGCCTATGTAAGACTCATCTTAGTTTGATCCTCAGTACCACTTTAAAAAAAAACAAAACTATAATTTTTCTCTTAAAATATTGATTTATACTTTTAGAAATTTCCTTTGCCAACTGTTCAAAACTGCCAAAGAAATCAACACAAAGGTCAGGCAGTGGTGGCACACGCCTTTAATCCCAGCACTCAGGAGGCAGAAGCAGGTGGATCTCCGAGTTTGAGGTCAACCTGGTCTACAAGAGCTAGTTCCAGGACGGGCTCTAAAGCTACAGTGAAATCCTGTTGGGGGGGGTGGGGGGGCAGGACAAAAAACACCAACACCAAACAACAACAAAAAAGAACAAATCAACACAAAGATATTCTTTTAAAGACATTTAAATTTATCTTTTACATTTCTTCAGATAAAACAGAGCTTGCCTTACCACAGTTGAAATAAATTTTAGGGCTTTTGGGGGGAGGGGGCTCACACATGCTAGGCTACTGCTGAACTATGTCTCCAACCCCTTTTTTTTTTTTTTTTGGTTTTTCAAGACAGGGTTTCTCTGTGGCTTTGAAACCTGTCCTGGAACTAGCTCTTGTAGACCAGGCTGGCCTCGAACTCACAGAAATCTGCCTGCTTCTGCCTCCTAAAAGTGTTGTGATTAAAGTTGTGCGTCACCACCGCCTGGCTTCAACCCAAAATCTTAATATCTCAGAAATGGGTACAAGTTATAAGTTCTAGATTTTAAAGTACTAAGACATATGCTTTCTGTTTTAAAGTTAATTTTTCCTTAAAAAGGGACTACTTCTGTTTGATAAAATTAAAAGCTATATTTCTAGTTATGATCTCCATAAAATAGAAATGGTAACAAGGAAACTTAAGAATCATACACACAAAGGTAGAACATTCTGAGAGCTCCATTCCATAACTCTAAGACTGGGCTAACAACTTTATCAATTCTTGATATAAAAATGTTTCAAATATTTATTAATAGAATTTGGCACCTCTACTGCACACAATAAAGATGATTACCTTATTTGGTGCTGACTCACAAGAATGTTTCATCTGATTATCCAATGGTGAATCAGGAGAGGGTTTAATATGATTATCCAAATGACAATTTCCAGGAGCCCTCTTCATGGCTTTATTAATTTCAATTGCGATATTATTAATTTTAACTTCTTCAGATTTCCTTCCTTCCATTTTATCCTGTTGGCAAGTTACATTACTATGTGGTTTCATATCTAAGAACCTATTCTGAGACACTGAGTGAGGCATTTCTAAGACTGCTGGTGAAAAACCAGTTCGTAGTAAGCCCAATGTAGGAGATACTTGAGAGTCCAACTTATGGTGCTGCACAGAGTTAAATTTTGAGAGTTTAATTTTAGTCCAGTTGGAGTTCCTCTTCGTTGAGCTATTTATTCCATTTAGTATGCATTTCACAGGCTTTGTTTTCCTACTGGGAAAGAAACGGTTACACTGCATGTTCTGGTTTGTTTCTTTCTGAGGGAGCATTTGTCTTTCAATATCAGCCCCTTCCGATGTGACTTCTGTAGGCTTCTCCTCATTTATCCTTTCCATGTGTGACGATTCCTTTTTTACCTCCACAGTATCTGATTCAATTTCACCAGCAATTTCTTCACAAAGTTGGAGAATGCTACCTCGTTTATTCTTTCCAGCTTGCTCCAATTCATGATCAATACTTTGTTCAGGCACTAATGGTTGTGGAATATCAGGGACTTTTGTGCTAGTATTCACTTGTGTGTGAGCTGATTTCCTCGGTTCATTCTTTTTAGAGACCTCTGAAGTAGCTGCTTTGAATTTTCTAACCTCTGAAGTTACAGGCACAGGTTTTGATTCTTCTTTTCTAACAGTCTTTTGGCAACACTTTTCAGACACTTGGATGCACTGAGAACTACAAGTATAAGCTGTCTGAGGCTGTACTTTGCGCTTCTTTCCTTTGGGAGAATGTATTACTTCATTCGTAACTGAATTTATGTCCTCCTTACAATCAGACTCTATTTCCAGCCCTTTTCTTTTCACACGCTTCTGACTTGCTATGACTTTATCAGATCTATTCTGAGTGCTGTTGTTGCACTGCTCTCTTCTTGCTGGTCGCAAAGTCTGTTTCCCTGCTTGCGTGTGCCTCTGAACCCCTGTACTGCGCAAAGACCTGGTTGACCACTCTGTTAACTGCTGCAGTCTTTGTGATCTCCGGGTGAGTTGTTCATTTCCTTTGACAGTTCCAAGTGCTAATTTTTCTTGACATAATCTCCTCTTTTTTGTAGATTCTTGTGATTGTCCCTTCACAATTACCATATTTTTATTAATGGATTTAGTCGTGTTTTTATCAGCTGCGGATGCTGACCTTGTACTCATTCGTGTTCCCAATTCAGGTTGATTTACTTTACTCTTGTTGGAAGATCTAACCAGTGCCTTGACAGCTTCCTTGGAACCTGGTTTCTTTACTAGACTGTTTTGAGAACCTTCAATTTCTAGTTCTAAATTCTCATCTTCAATTTCTTTAGTAACTTTGGAGGAATTTTCTTTTGATTTCTCCTGAATGGACATTATTCCTGAGTAATGTCTTCCTTTCTGAGGCCTTTTTGAGAACTGTGTCCAGGTAGGTGCAGATCTAAGTACTTAGGAATTTAGTACTATTACTAAAGAGCAGATCTTAAATATCGACTTTAACTTATACTGATGTACATTTCCAACAGAAATACCAGGTGTTTCAAGTAAGGTTGCTCTCTGAAATTCCTAAGATATGAGAAAAGCTGGCAAGAAAGGTGAAAGATATTTGTTCTCTGTTGAACAGGGAAATGGAACGCTGAACAAATTAATTCTAATTTATTATTTTCAGAAGTTTTTATTTTTTATTAAAATAAACTTCATTCAGATCCAATTTGTTCTAATTATTTTAGTTTCAGGCCTAACCCTATTACTAGGAATTATTTATCACTGACCTGTCTGCTTTGACAAAATTTCTGACAACTTTTTTCTTCTGAAGGCTACAGCTACTGGACGCTGATACATTTGTAACATGTCTTATGGCTAACAAGCTTCTTTCCTTGTTTGCCAAGTTTGTTGGTTTCTGGCTTCTATTTAATCTCCTTCGTTTAGTAAAGTACTCTATTAATATAGATTTCCTTTTGTGCTGCCATTTCTGAAAAAATAAAAAATAAACATTAAGTCTCTATATAATCCAAGAAGCAGGTCAATGATAATACTATGCAGAAAAACACCCCAATTTAAATAAAATTTAACTCCTTCTTTTAGACTATATTCCTTAGAATAACACAGTGAAGTCTTCAAAATATTTTTTGCATGTTTTTAGACTTATTTTAAGTGTATACATATTTTGCCTGAATATAAGTGTGCCACATGCATACTTGGTGCCCGTAGGTCAGAAAGGGACAATGGATCTTCTAGAACAGGAGGTATCAATATCTGGATGGCTATGAGTCAACATGTGGGTGCAAGGCATAGAACCCAGATCCTCTGCAAGAGCAACAACTATTTTAAACCACTGAGTCATTTCTCTAATCCCTCTCAAATATATTCTTCAATAGTAACTTATCTTATTGAAAATATAGAATACTTAAAAATTAATTTATCTCGAGATTCACTTACAGTTCTTTTCCCACAAGACAGAACTGATGTTTCAGCCACCATAACTCAAGATAATCTGATAAAACCATTCCTTATAACTTCTTAACACATTACACAGCGCCTAAAAACAAAAAACAAAACAACTTACTTAAAGTGCTTAAAAAGATAAAGATCTAATCATCAACTAAACTCTCATCAAATTAGTCTAATATTTACCAAAGCTCATTTCACACACAGCATTCAATTTCATTGGAACAGTATACATCTATTATATACTGTGAAAAAAAAAGTTTTAAAATACAAATTACAATTCACAATATAAATATTAAATGTATGAAACTAACAAAGTAAAATTGTATGAGGAGAAACTACACATATAAAGGCAGAAAAGTGAGATATATAAGTAAAGCTGAATTAATTTAAAACATTTAGTAGGTAAAGAAGAAAATCTATGAACTAAATGAACAATACTGAAATAGCAAACAGTAGTAAAAAAAGATATTAAGAGCTGGAAATGTAGCGCACTTGGTAGAGTGACTGCCTATAATGCACAAAATCCCACAGGACTTTGATTCTCCAGCCCCTCACACAGTCGGGTGTAAGGGTATAAGTCTATAATCCCAGCAGTTGGAAATAAAGGCGTGTTGATCAGAATTTCAAGACCATCCTTAGGCTACAGGTATCCCTGCCTCAAATAATAAACAAACAGAAACAGGATATTAAGACTAAAGGACTAGTCTAGTAGTGGTGGCACATACCTTGAATCCCAGCACTCAGAAGGCAGAGGCAGGTAAATCTCTGTGAGTTGAAAGCCAGCCTGATCTACAAGAGCTAGTTTCAGGACAGCTAGGCTGTTACACAGAGAAACCCCTGTCTTGAAAAACAAAACAAAACAAAAACCAACAACAACAAAGACTAAAGGCAATGGGGAAATGGCCCAATGGCTAAGAACACTTACTGTTCTTGCAAAGGACCAGGTTCAGTTTCCAGAACCCACAACAGGTAGCTCATGACTATCTTTAAGTCCAGTTTGAGAGGATCCAATGTTCTCTGGCCTATGTGTGCACCTGCAAGAATTATGTGCACATATGCTCACAAAGTTACATGTACATAAATAAAAATGAATAAATTTTTAAAAATAAATAAATAAATAAATCCACTAAAGAAAACCAGGCATGGTTTTCTTTAATCCCAGCACTCAGGTGGCAGAAATAGGCGAATTTCTGTGAATTCAAGGGCAGCCTGTTCTACATAGTGAGTTCAAGGACAGTCAGAGCTCCATAGCAAGACACTTCCTATAGAACTCTGTGGTAACATGGGCCATAAACAACTGAAATAAACATAGACCCCAGGTACAGCAGGACCATGGACTCAGACATGGCCCACAGCAGCAGATCAGGCCCAGATATTACCATGGCTCCGGTTATAGCATAGGCCACCCAGATCAGTACGGCACTGGGAGCAACATGGCCCTCAGACACCAACATGGTATTTGGTGACTGAATGGACTCCAGGTATCCGCTCAGACCTTGATGGTAATAGGAGCCACAGACATAAATTCATATCCTGGCTGTTACAGGGTCATGGAACCAGACATGGCCTCACAGACCACTTAGATCGGCCTGACCCCAATGGCCTGCCTTAACTTTCTAAGAGATGGAATTACAGACCTGTGCCACTCCACAAGGATAAGGTTTCAACACAACGAATCAATGGAAACAAGTCTTCAACAAACGGTGCTAGTACTGGACAGATAGGAAGCAGCAGCAGAAGCAGGAAAATAGGAAAAACAAGAACATCTTCATCATTCCTTACCTCAGACAACCCACAAAAGTAATTTCAAATTGATCAAAGACCTAAATGTAAAGTTATCAAACTTTTTTGAAGAAAAAAAAAGGAAAAAGAAAATCTTGGCTATTCTAATGGAATTTTAGGCAGGAAGTTTTTAAATATTCCATTCACTAAGTCCACAAGAAAGTACCTGGGAAACAACCTGTAAGTCATGGGGGGATAGACAAAAGTGGCATGTCACTACAGTAGAAACTACCCAGTAAACCAAAAGAACATGCAGGTATAAAGAACAAGGATGAATCTCATAACCATGTTGAGTAGCAGAAGTTATACACAAACACATTGTAAGAGTCTACTTTTCATGAAATTATATAAAAATCAAGTTTTATAGTGACAGAAAGCAGATCAGTTATAGTCAAGGGTTAAATGTCAAGGAGGAAATGATGTAATCTAAGGGGTGATGGAAATATTATCTTGAATGTGGTGCTGATTTCCATAAGGGTCTGTTAAAACACATCAAATTTAATCTTTAAGAAATCTAACTTTAAAAAGCAAAAGTTATCATAATTATAATCTGATAAAGGTGTTCAACAAATAAACTAAAACTGATAGGCTCTAACAGCCAAAAAACGATAATTAAACCAAAAAAGCAAGGTAAAGAATAAGGTGAATATTATGCAGCTAAGTAAAGAAGCAGCACACAGAACCATGTTTATGTACATAGTAACTGTAGGACTGCAGAAGAAAACAGTTATTATTTCTGGAAAAACAAACTATGAGACCAGTGTTGAGAAAAGCTTACTTTTCATTACACAGCTACTTTAATGTTTTATTACATTTAACAAGATAGGTCAGCAGGATTTGATACCAAGCCTAAGGCCTGACCTCACTTTGATCTCTAGAACCTACATGGTAGAACTAGAGAACTGGTTTTCCTGACCTCCATTCACATACTCTGGCAGGGGCACACACACACACATTCATATATGTACTAAAAAACAAATGAATTAGATTAAAAAATAAATGAATAAGTGAATGAAAAAGAGTAGGAGCAGAAGAGATTGTAGTTAAGAACACTAGCTGCCCTTCCAAACCCAGGTTTCCAGCACCTCCAGGGAAGCTCACAACCATCTATAACTCCAGTTGCAGGATCTGATGACACCCTATGGCCTCCAAATGCAGTGGTGCACAGACATATGCACAGGCAAAACACCTATCCATATAACATAAAATAAAAATTTTAACCTGGATGTTAGATTCATGCTTTTAATCTCAGCACTCAGATCAAAGCCAGTTTAGCCCACATACCAAATTCCAAGTCAGAAATGGATATGCTCTTCCAGAGGATCCAGGTTCGATTTCCAGCACCCACAACTATCAGTTCCAGTGGATCTGGAACCTCAGTTAAAGTGGATCAAACAAACAAGCACATGGTATACACACATTCAGATATGCAAAACATTCATACATACAAAGTTAAAACAAATAATTTTAAAGATTGTAAGATTTTAGACAATTCTGAAGCCATTTCTGACAATTCCAAACCCTCTCAGCCTCTGTGCCTCAGTGCTTCCCCTCCTCCCCTGGGAACAAAGGACCTAACAGCTACACATGCACGTACTCAGTTCCTGAACAATTACACACATACGTATGTTTTGATTCAGTCCCCTGGGAAACGGGGTCAAAATGACCTCTTACCTCATCTGATCTGACAATAGTTCTCCAGTCAATTATTGGTATTAGCCCTTTTCGAACAAGCCAATCATGATGGTCAAGGAACAACCCCTCTTGTTTCTATGGGGCCTTCTCCTTTAAAAGTAGACTGTACCAGCTAGTCGGGGTCTCTCAGCTTCCCGAATGCTGGGGGACCCTGTCATGACAGAATTAATAAAATCCTCATGCTTTTGCATCGGCTGTGGTGTATGAGGTGGTCTCTGGGGGCGACTCCTTCTCGGTTTGGACACTAGAGTCCAACAAAATAAAATTGTAAACTTAAACTTCCCTAAAAATATAAAATATATCTAATCTTTTAATCATTTCAAAATACACAAAATTAATGAAGTTAAAAGCCACTTACCTTAATGAAATGGAAATGTTGTTTTACCTTTTCAAGTTTGTTGATGACGCCTCTAAGGGATGTTTCTAATTACTTCAGTATACTTGGAAACCTTAAAAAGAGAGAGAGAGAGAGTTCTGTAGCTAAAGCAAAACAAGTTATTGAAAATACATAATTCAAAAACTAGAAGTCTATTGTTATTAAAAATTGCCAAGCTGGGCAGTAGTGGCACACGCCTTTAAGCCCAGCACTTGAGAGGCAAAGACAGGCGGGTATCTGTGAATTCCAGGCCACCCTGATCCACAAATGTAGTTCCAGACAGACAGGGATACACAGTGAAACCTTGTCAGTCAATCAATCAATCAATCAATCAATAAGCCGACCAGTCAGCCAGTCAAAACAGGCTGGAGAGATAGCTCAGCAGTTAAGTGCTTGCTGCTCTTACAGAGAACCAAGACTCAGCTCCTAACATCTACAAAGTGCTTCATAACTATCTGAAATTCTAGCTACAGGAAAATCACCCTCCTCTGACCTGAGGCCACCAGGAACACATGGTCTGTGTACATTCATGCAGGCAAAACATCCATGTGTAAAATAAAAATAAATCTTAAAAAAGTAGGTTAAGCAAACGTAGCCTGTAAATACCAGTCTACAGATGATTCTTCAATATATGCAGAACATTCCAGAACTAGATATGGTTATTATCTAAAACTGTAGAAAGTTATACTTAAGAAACAAACAAACAACAAAAAGAACTGCTACCTTCTTCCTCAATCACTACCTCCATGGAAGAGGTGTATTTTTCCTTCCCAGCTGATGAATGTGTTACTTACATTTTTATGGACAGAATACACTTCAACAACCCAAAGCCCTGGCTAACTTACTTTCATTGGCCAGTAGAATGTTACTGGAAATGATGCCCACAGAACGTGAATATATCTACCTATCTGGGCTTGCACTCTTACACCTTTTCTATCACAGTGAGAATAGCTTCACTAGGAATCTGCTGCCTCTGCCTAGGCCTCAGAATGAACTCAAGGACAAAACTGAGCTAATCTACAAGTGAGGTCAAGTTCAACCCATAAGGAAAAGTAAAGCCCACCTATACCTGTATGTTAATTACAGCAGTCACAGCTATTCTAAACTGAGTTCTACCAAAGTTTCTTTCTTTCTTTTTTTTTTCTTTGAGACAAGGTTTCTCTGTAGCTTTGGTGCCTGTCCTGGAAGTAGCTCTTGCAGACCAAGCTGGCCTCAAACTCACAGAGATCCACCTGCCTCTGCCTCCCGAGTGCTGGGATTAAAGGCATGCACCACCACCACCCGGCTCTACCAACATTTCTTAAACAACAAAAATTAACTGGTACACATGAAAATTTAGTAAATATTAAACATCAAAGGAATAACTTGAAAACTAGGAAAAGAGCATATATGATTTCCTTTAACATGTACATTAAGAAACTTAATTTTGCTGGGCAGTTATGGTACATGCCTTTAATCCCAGCATTCAGGAGCCAGAGGCAAGCAGATCTCTGTAAGTTTGAGGCCATCCTGGTCTACAGAGTGAGTTCCAGGACACTCAAGGCTACAAAGAGAAAAGCTGTCTTGAAAACGCAACAATAATAACAAAAAAAATTAATTTTTAGGCTAAGCATGTTGGCACACACCTTTAATCCCAAAACTTGGAAGGCAGAGGTAATCAGATCTCCATGAGTTCCAGGCCAGCTGGTCTACATAGTAGTTCCAGATCAGTCAGGGATAGTAAAAAATAAAAAAAGAAAAAAGAGAAGAGAAAAGAAAAAGATAAAGAACTATTTTAAAAAGAAAATCCAGATGGGTATGGTGACACACATCTTTAATCCCAGTACTTGGGAGGCAGGGGCAGGCAGATTCAAGTTCAAGGTCAGTCAGGACGACACAGAGGAAACCTGTCTCATAATAATAATAATAATAATAATAAATTATTGGGATGGGTTTCAAGACTGTTTCTTTTTTGTCCCCGAGGGAAAGATTCCAGTTTATTGATACATCAGTGTCACAAATAAGCCCAGTACAGTCAGAAACGCTGAGCAGATAAAGTGCTAATGCAGAGAGACCTGGCAACAGGAGGAGGGAGGAATCCAGCTCATCTCCTCCATGTCCCCAGCCTGAAAAGGTATTTCTACTACACAGAGCAAGGGTAGCTGGGTAATCCAATCTATAGTGCTCTGAGCTAAGGAACACAAACTCATACTAGTGGACTGTGTGCAGAGCAAGAAAAAGGAAAGTCAAAACATCCTTTTCTCATAGACATTCCTAGACACAGAAATACCAAAAGAATTTTTTCAACTTCCTGGATGTACTATCTATTAAGGAATGAGAAAGGCAGCTCTCTGTGAGTTTGAGGCCAGCCTGGGCTGCAGAACAACTTCCAGGACAGCCAGGGATGTCTACTACTTCCCAGGGACTCAGAACTGATGTAGTAGACACTGTTTTACACCCTTAGGAACACTAAATTTCTAAATAGGAAAAATTTATTTACCTTCTTACTTTGCTAGCTCCCAAAAGCAGAGTCAGTATCCCCTTGTGAACACTGTGCAGACAGAAGCTATGAAAGAATTTGGCAGCATTTAAAAAAGCATTAATGATAGGAGGAAGTCGTAGGTGTACTTATGAGAGTTCAAGACCAGCCTCCTCTGTATATTGCATTCCAGGTCAGCCAAGGCTACATAATGAGATACTGTCCCAAAAAACAACACAAGCATTAATGAATATCAAGATTAATTATCAAGATAATGAATTATAATTATCTTAAAGCATTTTAGCTGTCTATTATGCCTGGGAATTAAAAATAACTTGGTAAAAGAATTCAGACAATTTGAACAAGCTGAGTGAACTATGACATCAAGTCCAGTTCACCCCAGTTGTTTCTAGTTCCAAATTAAAAAGAAAATCAGACTGATTTTTGAGACCAAAAGGACACTAAAGGTCATCTAGTTATCCTAATGCCGACTGCACTGATCTCAAAAGGACCAGGATCAATTGCATCTTTCAGGAACCTGAGAATTCCTGGCCTCACTTGGTCCTCAGGAAATCCAAATAAGGAAGACACTAGAAGGAGCCCGCAGAATGCTTCCCTTGCAGCCAAGAATCAAGGCTTGGAGTGAACTCTCAAGTAGGGAGATACGGGGTGACATCTTCCAGCTCTGTCCTACAAGCAGATCGATGTGATTCTGTGATAAACAGAAGTGCAGGGAGGGCTCAGTGGGAAGGGCACAGTCCTCCCACATATAGGAAGCCGTTCATAGGCAGGCTGACAGCTGGAACACTAGACAAGATTCAAAGTTTGAGAACTTCTTTGAGCCAAGAGTAGACTTGGGAATATCTTGAAGGAATACTCTAGTTGGATAGTTGTCTGACTTAGCCAAATACTTCTATAACTGAACTGCAGAGGAGATTCCATTATAGGTACCTCTATGCCTGAGACGACACACTAGCAAAAACAAAATAACGACAACAACTACCCTGTGATGTCCTCAAACCACTGAGATAGGTCAGGAAATACTTGGCAGTTATAAAGCTTGTTCTGTTTTGTTAGTCTTTTGAGACTGTGTATCCCTGACAGGCCTGGAACTCACTTTGTAGACCAGGCTGGTCTCATACTCGGAGATCTGCCTGCCTCTGCCTCAGCTTCCTGAGTGCTGGGATTAAAGGTGTGCGCCACACCCAGCCCCTACTGGTCCTTAACACTGCTAGATGTCGTTCTTCTTCCCTTGTACTGAGGGTTTCCCAATCATCAACTCCCTACCTGGAGGTTTCACTCCCTATTTCAACCCCAGGAACATTTACCAGGTAGACTGTCCCACTGAGTGTACTCAGTCTCCTCACCCTATTCTGGTCCTACTTTGGCTTTTGTTTTCCTTTCTACCTCTCTTTCCAGCTACTTGAATCACTGTGACATGTAACAAGACAGACAGAAATTCTGACTGGTTCCTAGGGGTAATCAGTATCTGATGGTGACAATTAGATTATTAGTGGTATGTCTGGAGCGAATAACCCTTCCAATCTGTACTTTCTTTTTCTCATGTTCAGTTCACTGTGAGAGACTCGTCTCATCTTTGCAGCCTGTTTTTATCCCCCCACTCTCATTTTTCCTGTGGTGTGGAGCTGTGCACCTGTGCACACTCACAGAGGCCAGAGGGACATGTTGGGTATCCATTATTCCTCTGTCACTCCTCACTTTGTTCCTTTGAGGCAGGGTCTCTTCCTGCCTTTCTTTCTCTTTCTCTCCATTTCTTAGACCGGCAGCTAGAAAGTCCAAGCAGTTATCCTGCCTTCAGTCCTTCAGTTCTGGGGCCACAGGCGTGTGTAGGACTAGGTCCAGCTTTTGTTAGGGTACTGGGATCCAAATGGCAGTCTTCATCACCAAGCCATCTCTCTACCTCTGGTGCTGGCAATTGAACCCAGGACCTTGTGCATATCAGACAAGCACTCCAACACTAGCCCACATCCAGGACCCCTCCTTTTTTTTGCACTCTAACCTTGCTGCCTTCCTCTTAAGGCGTGGGAAAAATGAAGCAGCACAAAGCCTTGGTTTATATGTCAGGCTGATTCTGGCTGTCTTCTGCCACTGACTTAATATGTAAGTGTAGATGATTCACTTGCCTATCTGTGTATATAAATGAAATGTCTGGACTACATAGATGATCTCTCTGAGACAGGTTTCAGATCAAGTCACATTGGAAAAAAAAAATCAATCACTTCATTAGAAGAGATTCTAACTTCAAGACATGTTTCTATATCTCCTTGAAACAGCTAAAAAGAGGTTCCTATATATTTTACTCTTTAAAGAACACAAGTGCTATCTGTGGAGAAATAGGACCTGGCAGTCCCTACACTGAACTAATAAAAGCAAATCCTTGTAATAAGAGAAATAGGCCACAAATGAGACCTGGCAGTGTCAAAAACGGTCTATAAATTAAATATTCAAAGAAGTAAAAAAACAAAGGCTGTCAAAACAATCCTGTACAAAAAAGAACTTCTGGAGACATCACAGTCCCTGACTTCAAACTCTACTGCAGAGCTACAGGACTGAGAACAGGCTGGTGTGGGCATAAGAAAGACGGGAGGACGAAC